TATAGATCTTGAATCTCCTCCAAACGGTTACTAGATAGATTAGGGAGTGTGTAGAGGCACTGGGAACTGCCCAAAATCGAATTGGACCAGCCCATATTCGGCGGTTCTCGATTCCAATTTACTGGAACTAATGAGTACTGGTCCGATTCCTAATTTCAGGCATAGAACTGTCTACCCACCAACTCGGACCGGTGTATATATATATATAAAAGATTACTGTTTACTTTAAGTGAAAGTGAGTTTTTCTCACTTGCCTTTTACCATTTATCCTACGGTCCTACTCATGTCTTACGATCCTCAAAATAGAAATAAAAGAAAGAAGCCCTAGCCTCATCTCACTCTTACCGTGAGAGTCTCATGTGGTCATGCCTTCAACTCTATCATTGCGTCGCGGACTTGCAATCGACTCACGCCTCACCTTCGGCCCTCCCTCATATCTCGCATCTCCTTTGCATTAGGCTTTCGCCTCACCTCGCCTTGCCTTCAACTCTGTCGTTGAGTTGCAGACTCGCAACCGAGTGAAATTTTCTGCTTGGGGGTACTCATTCTTTTGGCTATTGTTGGTGAATTCGATTTCCGACCTAGGGTACTTCAAATTATGTTGAAGTTTAGTTTGGGATTTGTCGGTTTTTGACTTCTTGTTGCTTTTTGCTCTTGCTCTAACTATGACTCTAGGTGATTCCGCTTACTCGAGCCTTTGTTAGCAGATAATTTCAGGGAATGCACTTGGTCACCATGTTTGTAGTCTGGTTGCGAATATGCTGGGATTGGGGACCCCATGGACCAACTCGGGAACCGGATCGGACCCATTGCCCGGTCCCGGGTGATTCGTGGAACCAACAGCAATTCCCACTTTCAATTTTTCAAACCGATCATTAATGGGCGGTTCTCGATTTCTTGCGTGAAACTGCTCGTCCGGACCATGCTCAGCCCTATAGATGCTCGTGTGCAATTTCCATACTCGATTGCTCTCACGTCTTCATGACTTCCTCCATTCCCAGATAACTTCCGAGTCACCGAGCATTTCTCAGTGACCCCTTCCATCACATTCGAGGTACATAGCTCAGGCTCCACAACTGTTGATGATGGGAAGATCCGAACGGCAGGGGGGGTTTGATTTTGTCCACCCGCGCTGGAGAAACGACTCGAAATCGCAATCACCTTTTAGCTTCCTTTTGCACTCGTAAGATGTGAGGTGTTGATGAACAGAGGAGCTTCCCTTTCTTGACCGCAGAGACACGAGAAAGGAAACATGCGGGAACCGCAAAGTAGGGGTACTAAATATGGCCCCACCCCCACACAACACACGAAAGGACACGACATTAGTGAAGTGACGAGTGCACGATTGCTGCCGGGAGACTTTTCGTCGTGTCCGTCAATATCAATCTCCGCATACCCCATCCTAGTATTTCCATTTCTACACCAGCGACAAAACGGGTTGTCGAATAGGGACGTGCAAAATAACCGGATCGAATCGGTCTAGAACTGACGATTTTCATAGGGATCGATCCGGTTTCTGGTTCTTATTTCTTAAAACCGGTGGGTACCAGATCGATTTTTTGTTCCAGGTGTGGAATCGACCGCCTGCCCACCCGGACCGGACCAGTACACGTGTATATATATATAAATTTATGGTTAATACTACGAAAAACCTCAAACTGGTACACCTGTGACAATTTTACTCCAAATCAATTTTTTGAGCACCAAAAATCCTAAACTGGTACACCCGTGACAAATTTACCCCGAACTATTTTTTTGACCACAAAAAACCCCACACTAGTGTACTTGTGACAATTTTACCCCGAACCAATTTTTTTACCACAAAAAATCCCAAACTAGTACACCTGTGACAATTTTACCCCAAACTAATTTTTTGACTACTAAAAATCCTAAACTAGTAAATTTGTGGCAAATTTACCCTCCGTTAATGTCAGTTAAATTGGATTAATATTACGAAAAATCACAAATTGGTAAACTTGTGACAAACAGAGGGGTAAAACCCCAAATTGGTACACCCGTTAACTACCGCGTGTCATCAAACTTAGCAATTTGACAGTAAAATTTAACATAAATTAACGGAGGGTAAATTTGTCACAGGTGTACTAGTTTGAGGTTTTTGGTGGTAAAAAAATTAGTTCGGAGTAAATTTGTCACAGGTGTACCAGTTTGGGGTTTTTGGTGGTCAAAAAATTGGTTCGGGGAAAAATTGTCACAGGTGTACCAGTTTGAGGCTTTTCGTGGTAAAAAAAATAGTTTTGAATAAATTTATCACGGGTTGTATCAGTTTGGGATTTTTCGTAATATTAACCATTAAATTTAAGCTTTTAAGTACTAGACTCAACCACTGGGGTTTGTCTCGGCGGCCACCCTTCCTATTTGGGAAGGGGGAAGGTGGAGAGTTCGAATCCATAATTTATCAAGGGAGTAGGGATGAGGACGTGTAATTTCAGACGTGAGTTTCTACTCTCATGCTCTGTTAAGATAAAAATTTTAAAAGTGAATTAAAAATTAGAATAGAACATATAAAAAACAAAAATACTAAACTCTCTCTCTCTCTCCAATTAATACAACACTGTCTCCCCCCCCCTCTCTTTCTCCTCTGTCTTTACATGATCACGGATCAACCATCATCTCTCTCCACTTTCCTCTCTCTTCATTTACTGCGGCACTCACTCTCTCCTCTTTCTTCTGCGTCCATCACTCTCGCCCACTTTTCTCTCTCTCTCTCTCCATTCAAAACCCCCTCATCCTCTCTCTCTTCAATTAATTGCGCTCTCTCCTCTCTTTCTTATGCGTCCAGCTCTGTCTCCTCTTCTCTCTCTCTCTTCGCTCAAGCTCCTGCATCCTCACTCTCTTCAATTAATACGGCACTCTCTCTCTCTTCTTCTTCCAGAAAAAAGTAGACCCTTGCAAGATCTCTCCCCCCCCCTCTCTCTAAATAGAGCTACACGTTCATGGCCATTTCTTCGTTCTCGCTGAGTTGGGCTCCAAGAACCTTCAAAGGAGAATTCCTCCGTTCTTGATTTCTAAACATACCTCGCCGTTTGCATCCATCATCTTTCACAGCCTGCCTCGTTGGAGCGAGTCGCCTCGAACCAATGTCCATTATTACCTTTCACAAATTTGCGTCCATTCTCTCTCTCTCTCTCTAGAGAGATGTAGATCTTCTCTCCACCATCTTTCACTCTTTTCATTCGTCGCCTGAATTTGACCCTTTCGTAAGAACCCGACTCTCGCTCCCCCTGCTCTCCCCACCCTCCTCCACTCCCGCTCCACCTCGTGGTCGTCGTACTCATCTCACCCCTCGTCTCGCCCTCTCCTACCTCTGCTCCACCCCACTCGAGGATCCGTGCCCGCCTTTCCCCTCCTCCTCCGCCACTCCCTACCCCTTCTCCGCCTCCCCGGTCGGTTTCATGGACCCACCCAGGAACTGGACCACCGTGGTCCGGCTCTCGGGTGAGTCAAAAAATTAGCGGGCGGTTCCCGGTTCTCATTCGTGGAATTGGCCCTTAGCAGGCGGTTCCCGATTCTAGGGTGGGAACCGCCTACCTGGGTCATCCTCACACTTATTGTCGGACGTTTGCCTACACAGTTTACGTGTATACCACAACAACAATAACGTGAATCCCTTTTGAATACAAAGTTAATATTACAAAACACTCCAAACTAATGCACTTATAATAAATTTACCATAAATTAAAGTGGACTAATGACAAATTGACCTCAAATTGATATATATATATATTTCAAGTGGGCTTATCATATCAATTGAGTTATTGTCATGTATCATGAAGCTCAATAATTTCACGGTAAAATTTGGCATGGAGGGTAGGTATGTCATGAATGTAACAATTTGGGGTTTATGATGAATTAATGACCCAAAAATTAGTTTTAGGTAAATTTATCATCAGTATACCGATTTGGGGTTTTTGTTGACCCAAAAATTAGTTTGGGGTAGATTTGTCAAAAGTATACTAGTTTGAGATTTTTCGTAATATTAACCCTTGAATATATTCAACGATAGGAAATCAAGGCATGAAAAAAAATATTTGATGCGTTTGTTATACGAATGACCGATCAATTCATTGATCGAGCGAGCTCGTCATAATGCAGAAATGGGATGAGATCCTCTAATAATTAGTAATTGCAATATTGCTGGCGTCTCGTTCGTTCAAATCATCGATCAATTTGAAAAAGGGTTGCTGTAAAAGTTATGGCCCAGTGTACCGACGGTTGAGAGTTTTGTCAACCAATGGAGACATCGCGCATGATAAAGGATCTTCGTCCTACGAAAACTGTGTAGGAGCTGGTGGATTTGCAGAAGGACCCGGTGATTTGCATCTTGCTTTATCTTAATATGTGATTGAAGTAATCTGTTAAATCAATTACGTGCACCACAAAATCTTGGCCTAATTATTAAATCCAACATTAATTTCATCTAATATGATCGAGATTACCAATTCGCTCGAATATTACTAGACACAAGTCGCAAATGACATCACTTATACATACCTCCCCCGAGGCGATGAAAGTAGGTTAAGTCTAGATTTAATTCTATAGTTTATGGCATTTTGCAATTTCGTCGTTTTGACTTCTTTTTCTTTTTTTCAAACCAAATCATCTAATTAATCTTTCATTATTAACTTTATCAGGATATTTTTTTTTGTCAAAAGAAAATTTCATTCATTTGTCATAATCAAACATGAGAGAACATAGAAAATTTCTAAGCAAAGCAAATCCCAAAAAAGTCGCAAAACAAAACAAAACCCATAAAACAAAATAGCATAGCTTGCAGCTATAAGAACGCTTGCATCCCAAAATACTAGATTTGTCACAGCATAAAAAAAATAATCAGCAGCAGATAATCGGAATCATCAATGGTGATGGGCACATGCCGAGCTCTTCCCATCTAAAAACTACGGTTTGCAGTGCGCGCTTAAGTTTAGCGTCCTCAACACCATTAACATACGAAGACAACAATAACATGTTGAACCACCACATATCAAATGTCTCTAAGAAACTCCAGATCTATATTTAGATCAAAAGTGAAAAGCTCCCAGATTTAGATTTACGCCTAAATTGGGAGAGGAGAGCTTTCGTCAAATCTCGGCAAAGTTATACACCCACGTCTCGGACATTCAGCTGGCTGGACCAGTAACGACGTTCCCACGAAATTTTCAGCTGCAAGCAAATTTATTCAGAATATTTTCATGGCAATGTTAATGCGGCAATTTGACCACCATGGCATGCGTCGTGCAAAGAAAAAATTAATGCAAGAAAACCATTTCATTTTAAATATATAGGAAGAATTTTATTATCCTGTTCCACTAAGAAAAACGTGGGTAATTATCATCGTTTAGTTAACTTATTTAACATGCTTAGTTAAGGGGGGAAGTCGAAAACGAATTGAAAGGGAGGCTGCAGCGGCTAGACCGGATCAATTTTTTGGTCACGTAGTTGCATCAAATGACACTATAAATCTTAATGATGTTACTGGTAGAATGATCTAGTCATATAAAATAAAATTAGAGGATGTGATTGCTAATGTTAGACTGTCCAACTCAAAAGTTTAAACCTATAAATAAAGGGAAATCACTTGTATATAAGAGCATATAAGACCCGTTTTTTGGACGGTAGGAAATGCGACCGGTGCAGCTGGCGTTATATTGACACCTAAATTTGCCCCTTGATGGCCGCACTTGGGGAGGTCATGACACGTTACAATAGCTTTAATATTATGTTAAAAAGTTCAACTTAAAAACTTAAGCCACAATCACAGTTGATGCAACGCTATTCTTTGGACATTTCTTATGATAACAATAACTCTGATACCATGTTATGAAATCTAACTCAAAAGTTTAAGTCAGTATGTGAAGGAAGATCACGTGTATATAAATAATATATAAGATTCGTTGTCAAGCGGTATATGAAAATATTTCGAAATCATAAAAAACCTTAATATAACCTCCTAGAAGCCAAATGACGCATGCAGTAGCATAACATCTCGCAATATATGACATGGTAGTTGAATAAAACAAACAAAAAGAAACAAAATTATAAGAAATGCTGTCAAGTGATAACCATGATAACCATCCCATCCTTTTCTTTCCTGCATTCAAACCACACATTTTGCCCCACAATTTAACATATTTACTTATACATCCCCACAATCCCCTAAATTTATTCATCTACCCCCAATTTCAGTCGTTATAAACATTATTTATCTCGAGCATCATTATGTTCACCAATACATTACAATTATCATTTCCAAAAGTATGACGAATTCTTGCAATACTCTATACACGATACATTTGTTATTTATATCATAAAACCACATTAAATTTACCATTTTTAAAGGACTAGAGATAAAAACTATCCTCCTCCTCCGCTGGGTTTCCAAATGGAGGGTCAGGGCAGTTCCTGTTCAAGAGCTCTTCAATCATTTGCAAGGCAATCCTCTCTTCTTCGTCCAAGCCCCCTCTCACCATCGACTCCGAAGGCGGCGGCGGCGGCGGCGGCGGTAACGACGACGACGGCAACGACGAAGAAGAAGTGGAAGGAGGATGAGGAAGTGGCAGAGGGTCTCCAGACTCTCCAATGGCATCGGCATTTTTTTTGCCGAGCTGTACGGTCATGACCCAGTTGGAGTCGGAGCGCTGGCCGGCGCGCTTCTGCCAGACGCCGATGTGGGAGTTCTCGGTGTCGAGCCTCAGGCAGGTGAGGGACGGCGACGGCGTCTTGCTGCATTTCCTGAGCTTCGCATGGAGGATCTCCGCCAAGTGCTTCGAGGAAGACAAGGAATTGGCGGCGGCAGCGTTGCTGTTGCCGCCATCGCCCGTTTTCGGGTCGCCGTTCGGGGTTTGAGATATTGGGAAGTTGGTCTTCGCGTTGCGGCCGCTCATCAGGATGGCGGCCTGGTCGTAGGCTCGTGCCGCCTCCTCGGCTGTCTCGAACGTCCCCAGCCACACCCTTCTCTTCCTGTAATTTGAGAGTACACGCATGATAAATAGATCCATGGTGGGAAATGAACTGATATATGATGAATATTCACGATCCTAACGAGAAACTTCTTTTTTTGTGTTTTGGACTGTCATTGACTCATTATACGCGATAAAAGTCAAGTTCCCAACTGCCTGACTCGAATTATTTTATAAAACCAGAACATTACCAGAAACTTATGGGGGCTTGAATATTTTGGTCATCAACACATTGTCAGCGAATGAGGCCGACTCAGAAATGTGGTGACGAAGCAATATCGCAGAACAAGAAGAAGAAGAAGAATGAGGTAGAGGATGAGGAGGAGGAGGTAACATACAACAAAGGATGGCGAATTTCGGAAACCCAAGAGCCCCAGTGACGCTGTCTCACGCCCCGGAACTTCTTGGACTGAACCATCTTCATCTCCTTCTGTCTTGTTTCTTTCTTTCTTTCTTTGTCCAGACGCAGACAGGGAGAGAAAATCTAAGTCACGATCGGACTGGTGCTGACGATGATGGAGTGTAGGATCTTGCGGAATATAAAGAGTGAGCTCTGGGGGGAGTTTGAAAAGTTGGGTGTCTCTGTGTTCTTCTTTTCTGTACTAAAGTAATAAACCGTCGGCAAACTATAAAAGGGGAGGCAAGTACACACAGCTTTTTGCAATCCAACCCCCTTGAAAGGGTCAGCCCCCTTCATCCACCCAAAACTCCACAATAAAATTGTTAACCTACCCCATAAATGGTAGGGGCTATATGCCACCTCCCCTTATTATTTCTAACTACCGTGTATGATGTATATAGATTCGGATCAAATGACTCTGGCCAGTGGTGCTGAGGTACCGCGAATTTTTTTTTTCAAACTTCTAATAAATGTCGGTAACAATAATGGCTTAATGGTACGGGATCGCAACTCTTGGTTTGCAAGGTCACGAGTTCGAGTGCAAACTCGCTTGCGATAGTAACACGTGAGGCCTAATACCCTAAAAAACCTCAAACTTTAGCTTTTGTCTCAAATTTACCTTTTGTCTCATAAAAAACTTCAAACTTTAGGTTATGTCCCAATTCTACCATAAACTTTTTTTTTGTTCCATAAAAAACCTTCAACTTTAGGTCTTATCCTAATTTTACCATAAACTTTTTTTTGTCTCATAAAAAACCCCCAACTTTTTGTCTTGTCCTAATTTTACCGTTCAATCTCAATTTTACCCTAAAATTTTTGTAGATTCACAAAAAATCACAAAATTTTACTTGAGTCACGAATCTGTCCCCATTAACCCTCTGTCCAAAATTTTTTGTTGACAACTGAGAGATGGAAAAATCCAAAGCACGAGCTGTTCGAGCGTCCGGAGTGCAAGCTCTCTGACCGTGAGAGAAAGCACAGGAGATCAAAGACTGAGTGCAAAATCACTAAGCGCGATTTTGACGGAGAGTTAATGAAAAGCAGATTTGAAACTCATGTAAAAGTTTGTGATCTTTTATGAGACAAAAAAAATAGAGTTAAATTGAAACTGAACCTAAAGCTGGAGTTTTTTATGAGACAAAAAAGTTTCAAGTAAAATTAGTACCGAACCTAAAGTTGAGGGGTTTTCATTAGAAAAAAAAAATTAGGATAAAATTGGGACTAGACCTAAAGTTGAGGGGTTTTTTATGGGATAAGAAATAGTTTAGGGTAGAATTGGGACAAGATCTAAAGTTGGAGATTTTTTATGAGACAAAAGGTAAAATTGGAACAAAAACTAAAGTTCGAAGTTTTTTAGGGTATTAGGCCAACATGGGATTCTTGTGTCGGCGAATGGATTTGTATCAAGCTGCGGTGGTCTTGTGGTATTTGTCAGGATGGGTTTGGACATCTACGGATCAGGTTGAGTAGTCAGTGATTCCATCCGAAAATTCCGTAATAGGTGTGAGACCCTTGTAATCGTGCCAAAAGCATACTCCTACGCGTACCCCAATCATCATCTTTATGGCGGACTGGCTTATTTATTCACACTATCTAGTTACTTGACGGAAAAATAGAAAGAAAAAAAAAACTCTCTCTCCATAAGCCACTCGATGATAACGACAATGCATACAATTCATTATGGATTTGCCCTTTTCTACATCTCCGATTGGAGGAATCCATTTATGGGCGATACTTATCTTGTTATCCATTAATCAAGAGGACCGGTGGGAAAATATAAGCTTTGCTTTTATGGTGGTGTATGCAAAAAGTCTGATGCCTTTGTCATGTTCTGAATGTAAAATTCATGATTGAATCCACTAAAATGACACGCAAACATTGTCATGGTGGCTGGGACCCCGTCTCATTAAGGGTAGAAAGAAGTCAAAGATAGTAAAGACTATTGTGGTGGGAGATAATTGTCATGCATTATTTATTGTATATGGTTACGAAGGTTAGATTCACCGAAATATCGACCAGGAAAAAAACATCTACGCAGAGCAAAACCGCGTGTTGTCATCGCATGAGACGACTATGTCTACATGAATGTTTTTGTTAAGAGTTCAATCCTATCGATTTTGCCATTTTATATCCAATGGAAACCCTCATTCTTCATGAAGAACATTTCGACATTTCGACGGAATTATGAACTGCATTTTTGTGTTTATGTTTGATGGTTTTGAAGATCAAGGGCATAAACTTTATACAAGGCGAAGGGTAGGTGACGGACCTTCTCATTTTCCTAGGTAAACCTATCTCCATCGGGAAATTAAATGACATTTGGCCCACTCGCATACTTCTAAAAATACCTGGCACTACCCCTACGACTACAACCACGTATTCGGGAAAATTATCCAAAAGTCATAAACCTATTTCACTATTGTCAATTCAGTCTTAAATTTTTTAATCATGCCAATTTCTTTTGATCGGAATAGAATTGCCGATTGAGTTCTAAACCATTTCAGATTTTACCAACTGAGTTCATTTGGCCAATTTTGGTCGGAAATCGCTAACGTAGATCCCGGCAATCCTACGTGGCGCGGCCGGCGCCGACGTGGACAAATTTTAATAATATTTTAATAATTTTTTCAAAATTTTAATTTATTTATTTTTTCTTTCTTTTCTTTTCTTTGTTTTTTTCTCCAATTGTGGCTAGCGAGGGCATCGTGGCCCTCACCCAGACCAGACGAGGAGTCACGGCCCTCGTCAGCCAACAGGCGAGGGTGTCGGCCCTCGCTTGGATTTGGGCGAAGGGTCCGATGCCCTCACCTCACCTAACCATAGTTGGGGAATAAAAACAAAGAAAAGAAAAAAAAGAAAATTTAAAAATTTAAAAATCGAAAAATATTAAAATATTATTAATAATTATCCACGTCAGTGCTGGCCATGCCACGTAAGACTGCTGGCATCCACATCAGCGATTTTTGCCAAAATTGACCGAATTGGCTCAATTGGCAAAACGTGAAAAAGTTTAGGACTCAATTGGCACAATTAAAATATTTATGACTAATAGGTTTAGGACTTTTTAAATAATTTTTCCTCACGTATTCTAGGTAATCACACCCCAACTATCTAAGTACATCGACACGCGCAACACGTGTATTAACCCTAATATATATGACAAAAGAATCCTCATAGAGGACCCTCAAGAACCCATAAAAAGGATGGATAATGAGCCTGAAGTATGCTCAAACTGGTTTTACCCAGTACAACATTATGAAAGAGCTTTCCATGTCAATTTTGCCCCTCTTGTAACTCCATCCATATCAAATGTTTTTGGGAAAAAACCACTAAAAACCCCGAACTTTGCCATCTGTGACACATTTACCCCGAACTTTTTTTTGTGACATCAAAAACCCCGAACTTTACTTTTTGTGACACATTTACCCCAATGTATTTAGTCCATGGGCATTTTCGTCTTTTTTGCTTTTTTTTTTTTTTTTTCCTTTCCGGCGAGGGGGGCCTCGCCGGCGCCGGGCGAGGCCGCCCTCGCGGCGTCGAGCGAGGGCGGCCCTCCCGGCGTCGGGCGAAGGTCGCCTCGCTGGACGAGCGAGGCGGCCCTCGCCCGACTCAGCGAGGTCGACCCTCGCCGGCGTCGGGCGAGGGCCGCCCTCGCTCGCCCAAGCGAGAGCGACCCTCGCCGGCGTCCGGCGAGGGCCGCCCTCGCTCGCCCAAGCGAGAGCGACCCTCGCCGGCGTCGGGCGAGGTCCGCCTCGCCCGGGCGAGCGAGGGCGGCCTCTCTCGATCTGGCGAGGTCGACCCTCGCCGGCGTCGGGCGAGGGTCGCCCTCGCCTAAGCGAGTGAGGCGGCCCTCGCCGACGCCGGGCGAGGCGGCCCTCGCCGATCCGGCGAGGGCAACCCTTTCTCGACGCCGGCGAGGGTCGCCCTCGCTCGACGCCGGCGAGGCCCCTCGCCCGGATCCGGCGAGGGCGACCCTCGCCGGCGTCGGCGAGGTCGCCCTCGCCCGGGCTAGCGAGGGCGGCCCTCGCCACTCGAGCGAGGTCGACCCTCGCCCGACGCCGGCGAGGGCTGACCTCGCCTGAGTCGGGCGAGGGCCGCCCTCGCTCGCCCAGGCGAGGGCGAACCTCGCCCGACGCCGGCGAGGCCCCCCTCGCCGGAAGGGAAAAAAAAAAGAAAAAGCAAAAAAGACAAAAATTCCCATGGATTAAATACATTGGGGTAAATGTGTCATAAAAAGCAAAGTTCGGGATTTTTGGTGTCACAAAAAAAAGTTCGGGGTAAATGTGTCACAGATGGCAAAGTTTGGGGTTTTTTCCCAATGTTTTTTTGACTGTTTACTAAATAGCATGCGGCTTCTGTTGGGGTTATTCCATATCAGTTGTGGAAGGGGTTGGTGGTTAGTTCATAATTGTGAGGGAAAGTCTCACCCTTTGAGCTAGCTTTTGGGATGAGAGAGGCCCAAGACCACCCAATACTGATATCAGAGCTAAAGTTACTAAGAAGTCTGGACTTAACAGTTATACGAGAGATATCAGTTGTTAAGGTTTTGACTCAAGACCTAATGTGTGAGGGGGAGATTGTTGGGGTTATCCCACATCGGTTGTGGAAGAAGCTGGTGGTCAGTTTATAAATGTGAGGGAAAACCTTACTTTTTGAATTAACTTTTGGGATGAGAGAGACCCAAGACTGTCTAACAGCTTCCCCATTTTAGACCAGCCTTTTTGGATTCCGCTAATTGAAATTCATTAGTAATAGAGACCGACACCACTCCTGTACGTCTTACTTAACTCGTAATTCTGTTGGGATTTTTGCGTCCAAATCCCATAGAATTGAATGAAAAGTGTGCGAATGAAAGTGTCCCACATTGAATAGAAGAGAGATGGGAGATGGGTTCAAATAGTTGAGCCTCACAAATGGGTTTGGGCCCCAAGGGGTACCCCACTTTTGTGGAAGGGAGAGGACCTACGCCAAGCTAGGTCGGTTCCCCCCCCCCCCCCCGCGCGCGCGCGCCGCCACCGTCCGGCCGGCTCGGTTCGGGGTCCGGGTCCGGGTCCATTCTCTATCGGTTTTTATTTTTATTTTCCGAACAGACACACGTTGTTTAGAAATTATTGATTTATTTATTTTGGACAAACAAACATGTCTGTTCGTGAGGTTCGGTTCGCCCGAACGAAAACCGAAGCCCTTCGTGACTGTTCACGAACCAAACCGGTTCAAGTGAACCTTCTTCGCTACTGTTCACGAAGAAGCTCGTAACTCTTCATTTTCGCCACTTTAATATGACCGAA